CACCGAGACCGTCCATTGGACGGTAAGGATATTCGGATGCATCGCGTGGGATGCTCGTAATTTCCCGGGTAAGCTCCGGCAAATTAGCTCCGGGCATACGTTACTCTCGCCTTAGTTGTCCCTCTCCTGCGCTTCTTAGACCTCCCTCCCGCTGTTCTCCTTTATAGCCCCTCTCGAGAAAACTCGGCTTTTCTCGTAGCGAGCCAGCAGCCCGCCTCGATCGTTTCTCCTACGCGTTCTCTCCCTCTTTTCCCAGTCTACTCTTACCTCCCACACCTCGGATAAGCGCGTACACGCTCGTAGAAGTGTGAGACGTCCGTGTGCCCGTCGTAAGGTGGCGAGGATCGTCCTTACCTCGAAAAAGCTCCGGATGGAAAGAGAGAGAGCCCCAACGAGAGGGCATCCAAAGTGGGGATACGCCGTCCTGGACGTAGGACGAACGCGCCGGTCTTCGTGGTTCGACACGAAAGCTCCGTAGTAGGCGTGCCGTTCATGCTCCGCCCGCAAGCTCGTGGGTGCACGCCCAGAGAGAACAGGGCTTTACCATCCGGTGCTTTGTCGACCCTGGCAAACCACCCTGCCAAGGGCCACCGCGCCCGATAACGTTAACCCCCGCGCAGCCCTCTCGTCCCGAGACGCAACCTAGGGCGCGCGGTCCTTCTTCCACCCGCGGCTCGAAACCCTCCCTCCTGCTCCCTGTTTCCTCTTTCCTTCTCCCTGTTCGGCGACGTACCCACCCATGGCCCTCCGTCGTAGGAGTTGCAACTTTAGACCGCTTTGCACACAGATTGCATCAGAGCCATCCGCGGATGCAATCGTTACCCCACTGTCGTGTTTCCACCCCCTTCGTCTTTCTCCCTTGGAAGCGGATGGCGCGCAAGCACGTGTATGTAATAAGTACGTGTGCGTACGTGTGTATCTGGTATACGTTAGAGGAATAGCTGACGCCGGTTTCGTTGGCGAAACGAAGAATGCATCGCTAGACTGCAATGGAGAAGTTTGAGACGAAGCTTTTGATTACGATGCTTTATTGGCTTCGGCGTCGTAATCAGCGGTGCGGGATTAGATGCTGAGTGCATTGACCAGTAACGTTCAACAAGAATAAGTAATTTACGAAGCGCTTAATATGCATAGATAGCAATAAATCATATTCTCGGTGTCCATTTAATCTTAGGAATGGAGAACTTTGTTAATAGATACTCTATATATGTGGCTGATCATTATTATTCTATATTTTTATTCTACACTTAATAATGATATGTTAAAGTAAGAGAAAAGAATGAATAAAAGAGATAGTCTTAAAATTTTATTTTAATAATACATTTGCAATATCTTGGATAAATTTTGGCCTCGTTAAATAAAAAAAAAACAAAAAATATTGGAAACACTTTTTATAAATCCCCTATGATCTAATATCTAATCGAATTCGAATTATAGTAGAATGGATAAAAACGGATTAAGACGTAACAGTACGATTAGATACAGATGCGTTTATATGACGCGTCTGGTTACTGTCTATCCTCGCGAAACAAAGCGCCCGGATGTGGCGAGTGTAAAATGCTGTATCGGCGAACGAAATCTCGCTAGACTCTTAGTCTGTCGAAACAAATTTGTCTGGAGATTTACATGCACATGTAGGTTTTCGGTGATACCTACGGAACACGCAAGGCAGACACATGTCATAGTAAATACGTGTTCAAAGAATGGATAATAGTGAAATAAGAAATATAAAAATAAGTAAAACAAAAAAATATAAACATTTGTGAAAACGAGAACAATTTTAAATTGTTTTCAATGAGTTTTAAATGATAAGCGTTTTTATAAAAAAAATATTTTAATTGAACACAAGTTTTAATTAATTGAATTGAAAGACTTGAAAGTCTCAATTAAAATATCTGCGTTTTATTCCAAATTGCTACCGCGATTTTGTCTGGCGTGCGCTGTCATAAGAGCAGTAAACTATTCTTTGTGTTGTCCCAATCGTAATTAAATAATTTCTATAAAAAAAAATTAACGCAGCCTTTTTGTTACGTAATAGCAGTATTGATCGACACGCGGCAAATGAATCAGACATTATCTCTCGGGCACTCACTTTAATCCCGGGATTATCCAGCACGCCAATCGGACGCTATTGAAGCTGAAATTAAACCGTATGCGCTGATAGTCCGTACTCTTTTATTTTGCTAAATAAATGCATAACACGAGATCGGTTTTATTCAACTGTATTAATTCGATATAACTGAAGTAATTACATAATAAATTAAAAAATTTTTTAATTCATTTTCTTCAAATGAAAAATTCATTTTTTATAAAATCATATCAACAAAGTTGCATGAGTTTAAGATACTCTTAATCATCTAAGATATTCTTAATCACCGGAAAGAGTGAAACTGAAGACGATAATCTAAATCATAATTCGTTATTGAAATTTTCCTATTACATTATTTTCCACGAATGTTCTGAGAGAAACAACAAAAGCACATCCAATCAAAGCGATTTTCGTCACGGTAGATTAGCTAACATCGTCAATAAAAGGTTGTCGGAAATATTTTGCCACCGGTTACGTAACCGTCGCATTATCTACCGATAGATATCTCTCGGTTATACCACAAATACTTCATTTCATCGTTAATCCGATGATAAAACGGCCAGGCTAAGTTGCGAACTCAGCTAATTCAAACGGATTATCAGACGATAATAACGCGCTTGTATCTTGGAGCACATCGACACCGCTGTTTCATATCACATCTGGCGAAGTGAAGCCGTATATGTGCATTACGAGAACGCGTGTGTCACATACGCAAATGCGGAAGGATGTAATCGGAAAGGACGTCGCTTACGAAGCACCGAAAATTCGCGGATACTGCCGGAATCGGTAACGACATTACTTTTGTCGTCTATGGAAATTCATTCCCAGAGATTGTCTAATCTGGCAGCGACGTTTACGGGAATCTGCGAGTACGTATGCACACGTACGTATGTATACGTTCCCTTTGAGGCTCTCAATTTCGAACGATCCATTTTCACAGCACGAAGAGAACTGTGGTTGATATATTGATGAAAAGCTGCCTTTATATTAATTGCCGTCATTTTAATCTAAGATTATTTTCGTTGATTAAGCAGATAAAGCAAAAGAAAAAAATTACATTATATAAATTATTGAAATTCAGAATCCTTTTTTAATCATTACTGATGATATATTTGTGAAGTCTCTCAATGTTTGTTATGTTTGTCTTATATATTTATTTAATACTATTTTCTTAATATATCTTTTGCATTTATTTGTATTTGTTCTTTTAAATTGATTCAAAGTCAACTCGAATCTCCAATATCATATCTTTGGCCCAATAGATATAAGGAGATACAAGTTTCTTAATGTTAGCTTATTAATCTGCTTATGATTATCTATCAGTGGATGAGATTTCAATGTATCAGATCTCGATCGCTTTTATAATGAAGGTCAAAGAATGATTCTATCGAATCAATTTCTAATCCGAATACGCATCTGTTGCTTCTTATCGTATGGAATTAAACGCAAAGATCTGTTCAAACCATGTTTAATTATTTATTACGTGTTAAGTTATTTTTACATATGCAGTATTTTTGCATTATGTAAGATATTTGATACATATCTTTCGTTTTCTTCATTATCATAGATATATCGAAGCAACATATTAAGATTATCCAAAAAGTAATCAATAAAAAATTTAAAGCTTGACAAATTAAAAAAAATTGTTTATTTGAATATATAATTTGTTGTGCAAGTAATATATTAATATGTATATCCTCTTAATAAATGTTTGACATTTAAAGATTATTATTAATTAAACATTTTTATTTAACGTATAGTTATTATTTCAAGTTTCAATAATTCAAAGTAAAGAGTTTTTAAAAGCTGATTCGAAAACTCGTTTCATACCTATAAATTCCCGCGGATGTAAAAATTTTTGTTTTAATGGTTCGCAATTGCGATCGCGGAAAAAATCGACGCGATGGCATAGATATCGCTTCATGTTTCTTCACTTAAGCTCGGTCATCGGCAGTCGCGTATACCTACTCTCGCAGAGAATGTGTCGCAGGTGAACAGGTGTATGTGCACGTTATCTTTAGACACACCCCTGGAATAGGTTCTTGGTGGGGGTGCTGAAGTGCAGAGAAAAGGGTGGGTGAGAATCGAATTCGACGGAGAAAGATTTCGAAAAAAAAGGAGATGAGATGGGATGAGAGAGCGAATCTTTCATGGCGCGACGAACAAATATGAATATGAGCAAGAAATTGGATGGGGAAAAAATCAGTAGTTTATGAAGGAGAAAATTCTTTTCAGCAAATTGAAAGAAATACGACATTATTGAGGAAAGTAGAATATAAAATGGATTAACGAAGAAAAAAAAACAAGCTACAAAACTAATTTAAGTAAGCGACTACAAAGATTACAAGTGTGAAAGAAGATTCCAAAGAAGAAGAAAATATTCATAGATTTCAGGAAAATTTGCAATTTTGTTTATGGATTTTAATAAATGGCAATTTTATCAATTAAAGACGTGTTACAATTGTAATATTAATGTGACAATATTAAAAGGCGCAAAAACAGACGAGAATGTGATCGAAAAGGAACTTAACGCGACGAACAAAGACGAAGGAGAAGGAAATGATAAAGCGCGAGAGGGACGACGCCTTATCCGGAGCGAGGAAGCTTCGTAGCGAAATCGGGGGAGGATAAGAGGGAACGAGAACGAAAGGACGGGATCTCAGGCTGTGCGGGGTACGACGAAGGTGGGTTCCGGAGGAGTCGGCGAGCGAGAGGGTGAACCAGCAGCCGAGTGAGGACCAGAGGAGGCCCTCGGCCGCGCGATATCGGTAGACGCGAGACGACGGTATCGCGGTGGGCGATGGAGGTGGTGGTGGTGGCAGTGGTGGCGATACGACCGGGTGGTGGGGTTGATACTGACGGCGCGCTCGCGGGTAGGGCGTCGTAGGGGCAGCAGATCGAGCGCCGCGACGCCTCGACGCGCACAGTCGCGGCTCGAACGCCGTTCCCTGCGAACGTGTGTTGTCCTCGCGGACCGTGCGCCCGTCCTCGGCGGCGCGAATGACATTCCGTTGGTGCTTGGCGATCGTACGCGATTTCCAGAGGTACACTCACGACGAGAGGGACCGATGACGTGAATGCGATCGTGATACCCGAGTCACTCCAAAGAGGCTCCACGACGAGAAACGTCCGAAGAAATCCAAGAAATCAAATCAAACTCGATCGAGTTCGAGTTTTCGGAGCACTCAGAGCTAAGCACATGTTTGGTATTGATGCGACTGGTGACAACCCACGCGCGCCGAAACAGTGCCTCGCGGCCTTCTCAGGCAGATGATTGGTTGACTTGATCTTGTGATCGATGATTGAGAGACTACGATCGATATTGGCGTTTAGAATTGTGTACGTGACGTTCTGAATAGACTGACGTGCCGATTGGTGATCAGGAAACGGGACGAGACTGTAGATCGCTCTATTTACTCCGATTTTACTCCGAGACGATACTTATCGTAATGAGTTACGAGCACGTGTGTGATTTTCCGCAGTCTAGTCAGAGGTACGCGCAGTTTAATCATATATTTAATATTTCAATCTAACCTAAGCAAAATTAGAACAGACGATAGTGATCATAGGTGTGTAAATCGTTTCAATATAAAAAAAAAATGATCACCCACGCGTTTATCATTAGCATACAGTAGCTAGAAATTAAGAACTTGTAATAGTAAGAACCTCCTACGTAAATAAGCGGACATTTCATGCACGTCTGTGATTTCGATTGTAAATAAATTTTATGTCATTTGCGCGATTATCAATATTTATCGTAGACAAGGTGCTCCAAGTGACGTTTAGAAGACAAGAAAGACTGACATTCGGCTTTAAAAACCTGTCAACTTTTCGATCACATTCGACTCTTAATTGATAAGTGCCAGGACTAAAATTGACGCTATGAGTTTGTGAGAATCCGAGTACAACGCGATATGTCACGAATGGCGGCGACTTCCGAGGCCCAGGAGAATTATTGAGGCCCCAGGAGGGAATGGATTTTCAGAGCGCAATGGACACCTTTGTAGAGGCATGGATGGCTGCTAACACGAAGACGGATCAAGTACAGGTAATCTTTTATTTTTTTTTTTTCAGCCTGGATGAAATATTGTACGCAAAACACAATCAATAATGCGATTGTATAAATATTTTTCTGTAAACAAAATTGGAAAAATTTGTCATAAAAAAGAAAAATATGTTAAAATAATTTATTAGAATGTGAAAAATATTACGCTTATTTAAGAATAATATTAATCGGAAAAACACATGGATGTACAATTTAAAATGGAATATATTTCTTTTTTTAGAATAAATGTAACAGATAAAGAAAAAATAGAACAAGTATTTCAATTTCTAATAATTTAGTTTTTTAAAATAATAAAGCTTTTTATTAACAGATTAAAGCGTAATTGAATTCTATGCAGATCATTAATTTATCGATTAGGATCATTTAAAATCTTTTTTTATTCACACAGACATAATGGTTTTGCTAAAGTATCTAAAAATTTAGCTAGATATAGATCTAAAAATAATTTTGTTTGTTTTGTTTGAACCATCAAAAATGAATCTTTAAAACAGGTTATTAAAATGTTAAAACTTTTTGCAGCATTATCATCAGTGTTGTTTATACGTTTTACATAATTATTTTGTAACTAATTGTAAATTTTCAGATACTTCAGCAAAAACGTCCTTTCCATGTACATGCCGAAAAATCATAAAAATGCTTTTAATATATGAGAGGCCAATAAAAAAAGTACAGCTATATCGAAAATACGTGACCTTAATTTGACAAGGAATATAAAATTCCGATAAAATGGTTTACGTCGTGGATTAGCGTGCTATAGCGTCATCGTTTTCGGCGTTCGGTCTGCCGAACTTATAAAAATAACGCAGCGTCTATACTCAATGTTAGCGAGTACGAGGGGCGAGAAGCAACCCCTTTCTGACATTACACAGCCAATTGGCCACCCTATCGCTTCTTGCACCCCTCTCTTTCTCTCTCTGGACGCGCTTTCAGTCCGCTTAATTCTTCGTCATCAATTTGGCACATTCTTTCGCATCTCAAAGCGGCTGGCTACTCCACGTGTAATGCGCGATTATCTCAGTACCTAAAATAAATAAACAAGGCGTCGTTTCTACATCGCGTAATCGTTTAAAAAATAATAAACTTGTAACATTATGTATTAAAAAAAATGTGATAAATTCGAACGAAAATTTTCATTTTCTCGCACGCAAGTCTTCTTATCTTAAAATTTCATCTTTCTAGATGCGCATTGTTTTAAGTTAAAATAAAATATATAGAGCAGGTGTAATTAGGTGAAGTTTAGGTAAACATTCACGTAATCTATGCAGCATCGAAAAGAAAAAAACACGTTATTTATCAGACATATGATCGCTTGGGAAGGAAATAATTATCCGTTTAAACGCAGCGCGAGCACTCGCTCGGAATTAGGAGACTCGATTCTTCGCATCAAAAATCGCGTACCAAATTCAGATCCAACGCGTATATCCGACGCTTCGCGATCTCACAATGAAAGCCGAGGGCAACCGTAGGACGGGGGATAATCCTTGGCAAAGCCGCGGCTCGCGTGTATGCTGTGCGGACGAACGCGCGTACGTTTACACGTGTATGTACGTATCGGGGGGTCACGGGTTCTGACCACGATACGGATGTGCCCCTGCCTTCTTCCTGTGCCACGACCATGTTCATGTTCTGGCATTCAACGGAATAAGACCGCATGTCTCCATTGACCGCTCGATCTCTCGATCCATGCCCGCCTTTGGTTCACCATGGCTATCGAAAAATTATCAATAAAACACGCTACGAATACGTTCGTCAAAATCCGTTTACATTCATTCTTGTAATAGACTGATTAATGTAAAATTATCACGATAATATTTAACACGTTCTGGTTTACGAAATCCCATGTTCTACTTACGTTTTTGACCGTTACAAAAAATATTAGAACACAATTACAAACATTTTTGGAGGTTGATCAATCATAAGTTTCTCGGCAGAAACGATATTTTTGTTGGAATATATAGAATAGAATTTATTCTCTTCAGTATTTTCAAACCCAAGAAGGGGATTTAGTTTACAAATATTCCTGCTTTACTTATCTACTCATATTTTTCTCACTCTTATACTTTGGTTTATTGCTCCACTCTTGTCTCTCTTTCTTTATTTATTAGTGCACTTCTATCCTATCTATGTAAATATATCACAGGTGCAACACGTTTCTAAAGGTGACCCTATGCGATCAATAATATCGATTACTAATATTGACAGTATGCGTCAATATTTTTAATATTTTTACAACTTTATACGATCAGTATTATCGATAATATTCATAGTAGTGTACGTACAGGTCACCTTTATATTATCACAGTTATGATACTATTAGAATATTACACAATATGCATCATTTATTTGAGAAAATTATCAATTTATCACGCATGAATTATATGACGTGGATCATTTTGTCAAAAGGGTTATGTACATTTTATTTTCATTGTAACAAAGCACAGATTAAATATTTTAAAAGAGAGAATATCCATGTAACTTATATATGGAAGCACCTCGAGAGATGCATTTATCCATGCAGATGTTTTTCAGAAAAGAAGTCAGAGACCGAGGATAATCCTATAATGCTGTCAAATACATGAAGCTCTGCCTTCATACTTGCGGTATTAATGTACGAAGACTCATTTTGTAGTTTGTTCTTGTGAAAACGCAAGGACAATACACTAACGTGGATTACAGGATGTGTAAAAATTCTAAATTCAATCTTCATAATTTGCATTATAGTTATTTAAATTACACCGTCAAAGGAGCAAACTAATATGAGTAAATAACAGCAATTGTAACAGCAACAAAGCGACGTGGCGATCGCGAAACTCGAGCATAATGATCGCACGCGAGGGAAGAAATAAAAAGAGGGATAGGCGCGGCGGCGTTGCAAAGTTAATTAAATTTTCTGTCGCGCTATCGATATATTATAGGTAGATCTATGACGCTTAATAAACGTTTAATAAACGTAACAGAGCCGTGCGAGCTCGCGATATTGCACAGCAGAGAAACGTCAGTGAAGAGAGAGAGAGCTCGCGATGTAAAATTTTCACGCTGCCGCGACGCACCTCCCTGCATTCTGGCACTTGAAAACGCGTCCTTGCAGCGCGCGTTGCGGCGCGTTGCACGCAGGACTGCTCGTGCACGCACGGGCCGCCACGTGTGTACTCGAAAGTGCGTCGTACATATCTACGTGTGCGTGCACGAGGATACGTTTGAAACACGCATGGTCACGGTATTTGACCACCCCAGCTCCCGGAATGATTGTAATCCATCTATCCGGCCACCGAAGCCGATATATCAAACGCAGGTAGAGCTCGCGGTCCTCTCTCTGTAGGCCTTTTGCGTTGCCTTTTTATGCCGCAGACACGATCTTTTGTTTTCTCAGTGAATATTTTGTGAGGGAAAATTGGTTACGGCGATGCGAACAGTTTCGTGTCGGGTAACTTTATTATATAGAGCACGCGCGTTCCACATCGTATTCTTTTTTTTTAACTAGAATGCGTTGCAACAATTACTCCACGAAGATTTGTGTAATAAATGATATCTTTTAGGAGAAAAAGAAATTTCAGAAATCGAGTTATATTATATTCAGTATAAATCGTTATAAAAAAGCATTATATTTTTATTTTACAATATTAAAATTATATAAATATTTTGCTACTAAATTTGAAATGTATTTATAAATATATTTTCTCATGTGTTAATATTAAAAATATACTAATTATCTATATGGTTAATTAAACTGTAATTTTGAAATACTTGCATTCTCACTGCTTTCTCTAGTATAAACCCTCGAAATCAGCGATCATTGCTGGTGCAAGATGCTATCTATTGCTTTCTAATCTTCAGCTCTACCATATTTTGCACTTAGGAACGAAGTACACTGACACTACAGTCGGCAACAATTTACGTAACACGATCGCAAACGCATCAATCCGCGGATTATCTATCACAAAGAGACATCCAATTATCGTTCGGGGATATCGCCGGCTCGATATTTCGATAAACGTGATTAGAATGTTGCAGATTAATATGGATGCCACATTTAATTCCATTTCGCGTGATGACCGCCAAAAGATAGCGAAGTTATCACGCGCTCTAAAACAGATAATGAATCGTTTTAAAATTTGTTAAGTGCAATTTACGAATTGTTATTAGTACACAGTGCTGCATGTTATTGTATCGATCGGAGATTAGAAGACGACGAGTGCTTTTCAATGTTCTGTAAAAGCATATTCCAGAAACAGTTTATCTTCGTAATCGGAATTTCATGGAATCTTTAACAATTATAAAACGATTATATCAATATTATCTAATTTTCATTAAGTTTTATAGAATTTCACAAAGTTTTTTAAGAATAGTAAAAATTTAGGCAAATGAGAATAGAGCGCGCAACTAAGATTATAGTATAATTTTAATACTCAAAATTAATCGTAGATATGTCGAACGTAATTTCCTATTTCACATTCCTATTTCATACAAACAGTCACTAATGGATTGGATAATCCAAAGTGAAATGCAAGAATTTAGTAGTAAAAATAATGTAGGAAATTCATAAGAGAAAGAGGAGCCAACACTACACTAGCCAATTGTCAGATTGATTATTATCTCTTTAATAAAAATCTCTTGGATCAATAAAAAACATTATTGCAGATCGCAATAAATCTCAAAGGTGAATGAATAAAATTCTCTCTTTATTTCGAAACCAAAGTTTTGATTTTTCGATCATAAAATGACAGATTTTGAAAGAATTTTAAATCGGTAGCTATCTGAATTATTTCCATTATTTCCGTTTGAAAATGCAGCTACAATGAACTCATATCCTAAACTGATCTCATATCCTCCGAGAACGCTGCAACGTATCGCTCACGGCGTGAAGCGCGATTTTTCATGACGCGCGTTAATGCAGCATTCGTAGAATTAATATAAAGACAAGCGAGACAAGCGCTGATAATTCACGCGCATCGAACATCGTCGTAGAAATTGTGACGAGACGAGAAGAAAGGATCCTCGTGCAAAGAGGCGATATCGTCACGAGTGTTCCCTCTTTTTCTTTTTTTATTTCGATGAATAGAATTGGCCACATGAGGAACGATGCCGCTGACGTAAGACATACTCCGAAAAGGACCACGCGTTCAATTGATCAAACATTAAAGATTGTCATCGTGACATTCGGTCTTACGTAAGTTCGTTTGTGCGGACGATCCGAAACGCGCGCGCGATGATTCCGCCACTGTTCCGTCGCGGTTAATTCCGTTCAGAATCTCTCGCAGGTCCACGAGAATCCTGTGCACGGTCAACGATTAAGGTTATCGCATTAACGGGAAACACTAGCAGGAAACGCCATCGCTGCGTATCTCCGTTACACCCGGTAGATAAGCTGATCCGTTGATAAACCGCCTGCCGAACTCGTCGTTCGTGGCGCATTGCGATATCGCGTTTGCGCTTTACGTTTAATTATTTACTTTGCCATTTTTACTGTCGTCACACACACAATTAGGACACGGGAGAAGAGTACGTTTGTTTAAATTCACGCTGGCTCGCACAAATTGGACGAATCCCCGCAGCATTTGTTGTCTTTTGCGTTGACGATATTTTGCGAGTAGTACGACGGATGTACTTTAATTTTATTATATATTTCTCTCATTCAACTTGAGCAATCATTCTTGTTTTACTAATATTTAATGAGGCGATTACTTAACATGAAGCAAAAAAATATTTCGGCAATTATTATGAGTGATATTATTACAAACTTTTTATTTGGCTCTGCCAACTTTACTTCAATTTCATCTATCTAGCTAAATCATTTATATTGATCTGGTTAACTTTTTATCATATTAATTACCGCGCAATTAATGACATCTAATAAGAAGCAATTTTTATCTCTCAAGTGAGCGAATTTTCAGAGGTGTTTCTCGCGCCGGACGTTTCTTGGACCTGACGCCTTCCCAGCGCGATTCCCGATTCCACGGGAGGCCGAAGTGAATTCTCAAACACGGCGAAAGCCGGATCGATGAACGAACCGAAATTCCTGATTTTACGACAACAACGTCGTAACCCCTCGCACGTCACAGCAGAGTTACCGCGATATCACTTGGGGCGTTAGCTGGATAAGCCGCTAACCCCATCCACCTGTTGCCCCTTCTTACACGCTCCCGCTTTCGGTCTCGCGTTCGTCTTCATTCCTCGCGTGGAAGCCGTGGATCCGGGGATCCTCTCTGTCCTCTTCCAATTCACGTGGACCCTCGGGGCCCGTCGCTCCCGCTCTCGTCTCTCTTCCATCAATGATGCCGGCTGGCCCTTATCTCTCTTTCTCGCTCTCTTCGGCACCTTCAGGCATCCCGCTTCTCCGCTCCCTTCTTCGCCACCTCCTTCCTCTTCTTCATCATCTTCTTCTCGCTCACTCCCGTTCCAGGCCCGGGTCTTCAGCGGTCTGACGTGTTTTTTGCGAGTGCATACCTCGAAGAGCTCCCGAAACAGTAGCTGGTACCTCGGTACAGTCCGGGCAAGCGAAAAAATCATCCGGTCGATCCTTTGCAGCCGATCGTTAGATCGATGAGAGAAGCGATGTACAAAGATATTAAAACCTATAGATGGAAGAAGAAATTCTTCTCTTTCTTTTGTTTAATTTGATTTCAATGATTGATTATGTATATATTTTTGTCTTAATATTTCCTACGAATAAAGATATGCGAGTAAAAGATTCATTACTCAGAAAGAATGAGAAAAATTAAAGTTTAATTGCGACTTGATAGAATTAATTTACATAAATATAAAAAGACGATAAGTTTCGTGCAATCTGTTCGGTTAAGAACCGGGATGGTCATTTTCGAGGAGCAATTAATACGATGCTCATCGTCGATTTTTCAAGATTGCCTTGTGTGATGCGCGCGTGAGTGCCGACAGATTAAATTTCATAATTTTGTAATTAAATAAGGAGACTAAATACTCGCGAAAATTGCTGATTGCGAGCAAACACGAACGCGGCAGGAAGTCGCGAAGGATCATGGAGGGTTAAACGTCGCCTCGTATCTCGGCTCGTTCTGTATTCCACAGCTTGACGCTCCGTATTCCACGGAGGCGTCATCGACGATCCAGTTTCCAGACGAAAATCATCGCTCCGCGGTGCATTTTGCACATCGGCGGCGGCGGCGACAGCGGCGGCAGCGGCAGCGGTTGCGGTGGTGTAGGATTGTCGCATTCTGGGCCCAGTTGACCCCAGTTGACACCGTGGACGGCTTAGCCGTTAGTGTTAAGTTCAGTTCACTCATACATAAATCTAAGTCCGCGCTTATGCCTTAGCCTGGTCGCCGCTCGGAATTGAGCACGTGCTCAGATTTCATCGTCGACGACGCTTAGATCATCCGGCTCGCTCGGCCCGACCGAAACGTCGTAGATTTGACCGCGTTTAGGCGACACTCCCACCGTGAATTGCCGCCGAAGGCTTTTTTAATCGTTAGATTGCCTCCAATCGTGCATAGTTAATTCGCGCGCGAGTTATCTCTTTTTTTCTTTTTACAAGCAGATTCGAGGCAATCCTTTATCGCGCGCGAGCGCGTTTTAGCAAGGATACAACATTACATTTAATTCGTGTAATATATTAAAAATCAATTTATAAAATTTTGAACTTGTGAATATTAAGATGATACGGACAAATAATATGATTTATGTATATACAACGATGATTTATGATAATACTTTTTATATTTTAAAGATTAATAGGAGCTACGTAGAAATTTTTGTAATAGGTAATCGTTTCCGTAAAAAAGTCATGCGACCGTTAGAAGCATGATGTGCCAGGAAATTTTATCTTCAGAGATTAAGGACAGCAAAGGATTTGTATTACCCCGCGGCGATTACCGCACTCTCGCTGGATTATACACAAACGAGCGATGAAATAAACATCACAATAATTTACATAACGTGCTCTTGTACGCAGAAAATATTTTCGCTGTGAAACTTTGCCAGGGACAATACAGAAGCTGGGGAAGAACTTGTTGCCTGAGTAATAAGCGTAAAAATGTACATATCATGCTTCCCAGTATTAAACTTTCTTTCGCGTCCTCTCGATACATAAAAAGATTCTTATATTTTATAATGTAGAGCTTATCGAATTTCTTTGTATAATATTCTCATCTTCAATAGATCAGATCACTTTTCCTCGTTTCTCCTCTTTGACAAAATAAATGTGTCGCATTCCGACATAAATGTATACGGCAGTAATCGTACATAGACATTATCATCCATTATCGCGTGGAAATTATATTTATTATTCAAAATAAATTTAAAAAAAAAAATAAATATCCTCTCGTGATTGCAGAGCCAAGCGTTGGCATTGACGCACAAAGCCTCGCCACCATCGAGACCGAGCAGCGTGTCCTCGTTACCGAGGAGTCCTCAGTCTCATCAGTCCCAGCAGTCTCAGCCGCAGAACGCACCTCAGCACCCATCGGTACATCCGTTGCAATCGCAAACACCTCTCAGTACACCCCAGACACCGTTCTCTGCGCACAATCAGCACCCAAAGCAAGAAATCAACGCCAGTCCCAAGCAGGAAGGCTTCGATCTCAGCAAATCCGCTTCCAGTACAGGTAAATATTTCTTTTTCGTTTATATTTCATTATCCGTTTAATAATGATAAATAATGATTTATTAAAAATACTAAGCATATATAGCAATTATATATATTTTATTTTGACAAAGTTTGATGAAAATTATTAAATTCAAAGTTGATACTATTTTATAATATGTTAGAAATATATTTTAAATAATTTTGATGAATTTCTTAATTTAAGAATATCGCAAAATAATATAATAATGAAGAAGTTCTATACGGTTATTTGAACGTATTTGAACTCTTGTATTTCGTATCGTACCGTTCCTCACCGTCTTGTCCCTACGCGAGTGCATCTGTACACACCCCATTACCTTGGGTTGCATCTCGGGTGTGGCGGCTTGTGCAGGGTTCCCGCGGTCGTAAATCGTCGATTTGCCGGGCGAATTAAGTCACCGTTTACGAAAGATCGGGCCGTGCGAAAACAGCTTTAACGTCTTTACAACGTACGCGTAACTCGGTTGCGGGATAACTCATGTGACGGCGATGAGGAAAACACGGTAACGATGCACCGATGTCATTAATGCATTCTATACGAACGGAAGCGGCGTTAATCGCCGTCACCGTCTCACGTCCGGCGAAGGCCGATATAGCTCTTGTGTAATAAATAAGAGAGCAAAGGGGAAAACGATACGTTTTAAGTTTGAATCATTTCATGTTCTCGATTTTATTTTTTTTTTACTCCAAAATTATATAATATTGTTTGTCCAACTTAATAATATCCAAGAACAAATGCAGTTCGTCCTCTCCATTTGTATGGTACAGTATGTTATCCTGAATTATCAGATATACATTGGAATTTTATTGCGTGAAATTTGTGATCCATGCATTAATGATACTAAAATTTGTTGTGAAATAATTGAACACAGATACGTTTAAGTGTTATTAATTTCATTTATTTTTTTTCTTTTTTCCGTTTTATTAATTCAAATTTGCTTTACATTAGATTTTTGAAACTTTGTGTTTGATTGTTAAATATTAAAATTGAAGGATAAAATTGACTTTTAATACGATTGACATGATTGCACAGGTACGATATTACATTGCTAGTTGTTGTTCAAATTATAATATGTAAGTTTATGACCGATTATTTTATTTAATTTATTAGAATTTGGCAACTCTATGCAAGACAAATATTTGTGACGATGTGACTTAAGAGACAAATACATTGGTTCTGTAAAGCATGAAATCGATTGTCGTATGACTACAATGTTTTTGAATTAATTTCGTATAAATTGTTGCGTTGATTAGAAAGATATTGTAATTTATTATGAATAATATAAGCTCAACGGTTTAAATAAAAAATTTAACATGCTAGGTGAATTGATAGAATTGCGAATTTTAAGTTCTCTTTGTTTTTAAAAATTATTAATACTGAAGAAGGTCTAATTTATGATCGAAACGTTTATTATCACTATGTATTAAACATTAATCAAATTTAAATTTCGCTACCGTTATCTTGCGTTCGTGGTATAAGCCTTTCAAATAAAATTGTTGTGTTTTTAATAATATCCATTTAGAAAAGGGATAACACACATTTAATAAAAAACTCTACTTATGGTAGAAGTAATACATATTATAATTAGTAATTTATAGATAATGCTAGTGTTCGAATGTTATCATCATTTATTTATCTATTGCGAAAGGTTGTTCAATAATATTGCAAATAATACAAAGAGTCTGCTCGAAATGCTCCACTTTTATTCGAGGCAATCCAGAAACTCGGTTGCCATGTCGCGTCATAAAGTCCGCTTCCGTTGAGAATGACGAAGACGTACGTACTCGATGGAGGTCGCGCGAGAGGGATCGTTAAAGCTCGTAAACGAGATAGACTATCGGCGGAATTTCCTTGATCCTCGATAATGCGGTGGAAACAATTTACACGCGTCCGTTTGCAATGAGAATTAAACGCTGTATAAACGGAGCCCGTGATACTTAGTATTCTAATTTTACACGACACTAAAATTCGTAGATGGCAACATTTAAGGAAAGAATTAAATATATAAACATAGCAAACACACACACACATTTACGGCACATTTATTGTTAAATGACACATCCGACAGCAAATTAATTAAACATATTTTCTTGAATTTAAATTATTATTGAATTATCTTATCTCCAAATTTTGATAGAAACATATATATATATATATATATGTGTGTGTTTGTAAATCTACTTAATTTTATTTAATGCTCGATAATAATCTAACTTACTATTTTTAAAATATTTTTTTTAAATTTAGACCCCTTTTTGTTTTAAAAATAAAATATTAACACATTGAAAAAAAAAAGATTGGCTGCTGCAGCAAATTAGATGGTAAAATATGGAATAGCATTTTTAATTGGTTGCAGCAGTCAATTTTTGGTTGCGTTAGCCTATCGGAATCTTATACTGACATTGCAGATAGGCTAACCAAAAATTGGCTGCTGCAGCCAATTAAAAATACTATGCCATATTTTACCTTCTAATTTGCTGCACAGCAGCCAATCTTTTTTTCAGTGTAATACCTAGTATCTTTTTACGTATGTAGTTTTCCGCAAAATATAGACAAAGTTGCTTAGAGTAGAGAACGTCAATCGCAGTATGCATACAAAATCAAAGAAATGACTGTAATTAAATATTTGTCTAATCTATCATTTATAAGACTTTCCATTAAATATATATATTTATATGTTTCTCTATTTTTATCATTTGCTTGATTCTTTCACGCAATAAAAATCGCTACGAAAAAAGATCCAAGAAAGGGAGAGAAGAAATTGTATCGTATATCATATTAAGTTGTCAATTGTGTCCTGCGATTCTTTTCTCAGGCTAACTTTCAGGAAGGAATCGGTTTAAGTGTTCTTAAGAGAGTAGGGGCGAGGGGTAGATATTCTGTACTTCGGCATTTCGAAGGCGTGCAGGAATGCAGGGAGCTAGAGTACATATTTGCTTTTCCAGCCCCGACCTAGACGAGGAGAAAAGGGTGGTACGATGCGATGGGGGATGCGGGTGGACAGAAGCACGCACTTCCTAAATCTACGGATCTCGAGGATCCTCCTTAAATCTCCGTGCGTCACAGTTAATCTTTCCCTCTCTCTGCTCCCCTTTTCTACATTTCTCACACAGTTCTTATCTTCACCTTTCCTTAGTCGAGACTTATTTCCAACGCTGAAACGTTCAGTAAGCGACAGATTTTAAATATTGTATTTAATATAATTTTTATTGTTGTATAATGCAATAACATTAAATTTTGAAAACTGGTTCGCATAAATAGATTATACAATTTTTAATAATTACAATAACGTTAGTTTCTTAATTTTATAAAAATTCTTTGTACAAGAAATTAGAAATAAATACATCCAAAAATAAGAGAGCCGGCGTCGTTTTTTTTTTTTTATCGAGAAGTGATTTCGCGTCGGCATACATCAAAGATGAGCTGGAAGGATGAGATCGTTTGTCCCCTTTTAGTCCGCGAGCCGTAAGCGTCAGCTCGGAATTAGGATAATCGTCCGCGTGTGTTCCGTACGGATTTACCTGGACGTCTATATGCGCGCATCCGTGTGCACGAACGGTGGGGCGAACTGCGACGAGGTGCAGTCAGAGGGGAGGATATTGTGACCCTTACGAACTAATCCGGATTAAATTCGAATCCCTGGCTATGCGGCTAGGCGACCTGCGAACATTCACCATGGCGTCTTGCGCCATACGATCGGGCTCGTTACGCCATTTAACCCTACGCGATACTCCCTCCCAAGAGACGAAGCATCTTTTGTGGCGAGCTGCCTTTGAATTCCCACTATTTACGTTCTCGTCAGTGGACAGAACGATGCAGCTCCCGGAGCATAAAAGTTTTGATTTAGTAATCCCCAAACTTGCAATGCAAAACCCGATCAGAAAATATATTCTGTTGGGAAAGACTTACAATGAGTATTTGACGTACTACAAACTCAAAAAACGATCGGAAGCTTTGTATAAATTCAGCGTGCAGTTTAATTCAAATGTAACTATCCTTCGTTGCGCTTGTAAAAAAAAAAACAGTATAGTTTTAACTCGTTTTAATTTTCGGAAGTCGTTCTATTATTTATAAATAACCGGGATATCACGAAGTATAAATAATGTTATAATGAGTGAGATAATGTTTAACGAATTCATATATTTTTCACAGTATGAACTGAGTTTACAAATTACGGAGAATATTTTAACACGAAGGCGCATTTGATTACAAAGGCTTAGAAATATATTTTGTTTGTGAGCACACGTGTAATAAAATTATATATTTTTATTTAGCAGAATATAAAAATAACAAAGGAAGAAAATATAAGAAAGCTTTATAGAATACAACAAAGACGCATCGATTAATCAGATTGTATTGAAACAAAATAAAATAGTAATATTACTAGCTTCAAAAACATCTAATATATGTATAATAGAAAATTTAATATAAGCAAAAATATTTTATATTGTATCAAATTGTGTATTTTAGAACAATATTAATGCATATGAATTGTAGCATAAAAAACTGTTATCTTCCCTCATTTCTCTCGCCATTCAGGAATGATTCTTTTATCGCCGCCCTGTATACGTTCTAGCTTTCAACCTGACCACGCGTTAAGCCAAAGGCAAAATCGATATCATAACTCGCAGAGAGCAATCGTGGACCATATTGCGAATGGATATTTCTCACATGTACAGAAATGCGTGTGCGCATATACATCTTCATTTTTACTGTTCTTACATTTGAGTTCTGTCCTACATTTAGCTTACCGAACGCAAATCCTTCCAAGACATTACAAAGTCTGATTCTTACCTATACAAAGGCTATCGACAAAGTAAAGCAGTTCTCGTAATATCCGTAAAAATACTATTCACGCTGCATTCAAATTACAAATTGTTTCTTTTTTGGAATTACGAAGTATATCTTATAATTTTATTTAATTTTCTATTTTTACTTTTGTGAGATCTAGGTATATAAAACGTACCGTGCACATTTTT